TTTTACCTTTTGTGCATATCCTTTACTATGAGTTGGGATTGCAGTTACCTTACCTTTTTTTTTTAGCATACCCTATACCATGAGTATAGTGGGCTTGCTAGTATCTAAGGCACTAACAACCTTTACCGATTGTGTGCTTTCCTACCGCTGCTAGAGCAAGTAGGTGTATTGTATTATCTTTTACTTTGAATTTTCAATATGTTGTTGATATCCCGAACCATATATATGTTTAGGTTTTGTAGTTTCAACTAGTTCTGAGTAATTAGGCCCTCATTGAACTCTATGGTGACGAATAGAATCTGGTCGCTCTAGTATCAACGTTGGGTAAAGTTCATAGGACTTTGTTTGAATTTCGTTGTTATGAATGGTTCTTGGAGATATTGTGTTAGTGGTTGTTAATACACATCTAAAATGTAGTTTTAACGAATGGTTGTTTTTACAAATACTTGAGAATGTAGATAAGTAGTGTTAAAAGTTAACTTGATCTGTAAGGTTATAGAATTTAACTTAAAATGTATACTTTTTTTTTTATCTTTGGTTTATACTAAATTAACATACATTATCTTATTAAAAAAAATGTATGACTTCGTCTCATATTCTTCGTTCCATATTTTTATTTCGTCCTTGATTTTGTTCCAATTCCTGAGCAAATGGTTGACTGGTGACGAAAATGTTCAATTTTAACGTATCAACGTTCATTGTCAGTGTTAGATCGTTCTGCCACAAAAAAAAAAAAAAAAAGTTCCTAAAGTTCCTTTTTTTTATGCTGGAGATGAGGGAGAATGTAGCGTTTACGCTACTGATTAACCCCTTAAGAAATTTTTATTACCCGCCTACGATCGATTTTAAATTGACATTTTTCCCGACACGCGCTGTTATCGCTTTGAAAGGAAGATCGATTTTATGCGGAAGCCGAACGATCAGTTTTGGTCTGAACTCGTCAACGCAGCCACGCCAACCGGTGAAATTTTTCACCTTCAAAGTGACGGAATTGGAACAAGGAAGATAATTTGGGGAAGAATAAATTAATTTATAAATAAAATACATATCTAAATAATAATAAGTAATTTGTATAATAAAATCAATATTTATAAGAGTTCCACATAAAAGGAAGATTTTTTTGGCGTGCTGCAGTTCCATGTAAGTAAATCATTTCAATGCGTATTATCTCTTTATCATACAATCAAATTTATCATTGTATTTAGTATTTCTTTAGAGATTTATTTTTCAGTTCCGAAATAATTTAAATATAAAATTTCCTTGATTTACTTGCAAAGAACAGAAGGTCATTTTTTTTATATAGTCAAACTTAAATTCCGATCTATTTCATATCTTATCATTAAGTTTTTTTTGGTTTTTTTTACCTAACTTTTTTGGTGGAATATAAAAGGTTCTACAAATGTGGTACAGCCTTCTGTATTCTGCGCATGTTCTTTTCATGGCGCAAGCTTGCCATGCCTACGAAAGTAACTTCATAAATTTGACATGATGTTTACTTAACCTAATACCTAATGTTTTGATGTTTTGTTTTGGTGCAGTCAATCCATGCTGCTACACCTATTGAATTGTATTTATTAAATTAAATAATCATTTTAGATTCCGTCACGTGAAAATATTAATTTCACTTCACTTGAGAGTATTCTCTTGAGAATATTCCCTCAAGGATACTAGTAACAGAATCCTTAGATACATAGTTAGCAAACCCGTGGATTTTGCTGTCACCCAGAGACCAGTGACTGGTTGTGGCTTTTGTGACCAGGATTCGTCTTTACAGCCACAAACTGATGTAGCCGTGCCAAGAGGAGTTTTTCCTATGGACTTATAGTGCTGTAAAGATAAGTCGTTTAACTATTTGACCTTTTGTATTACGTATTACTTTATATTTACTGTTAACTGATCATATGCATATGATAAGGTGAATACCTTTTTTTGTGATAATTTAATTTTGATATAATCTAATTCTAAAATATTGGGGAGAAGAAAATACATTACATGTTTTTATTGGGTTTTTAAATAGGATTTCAAGAGTCTGACCAAACTCACTTTTTTTGACATAATATTTTTGTTAATACATTTGATATAAAATAATTTTGATATTATTGGGAGAGGGAAAATATATTACCTGTTTTTATTAGTTTTTTTAAATAGGATTTTAAGAGTACTGACCAAACTCACTTTTTTTGCTATAATATTTTTTTTAATACAATATATTTGATAAAATAGGTACAATTTTGATATTGGGGAAAGGGAAACAAATTTCATGTGGTTTTTAAAACATTGTATAAGTATTGAAGACTCACTTTTTGGATGTAATATATATTTAATATAATTGTAATAGAGATTTATCACTTTTGATATCTTTACAATATTGTCATTAGCATCTCATATTAGTAGAACTAATTTAAATTTAAATGACTACCTTTTTGTGTTAAGACTTTGGCTACAATACGGACTATTCTTGTTGTTTACTGACATTTTATACTTTATTTGGCCAGTGGTAGTGATTATTCGTTTGTTGAGGTGCTATTAGGTCCCACTGTATGTGTACACCATCCACTACCACTGTTATTTGGCTTTGCATTATATGTAAATTGTTTATACACATATACCTATATACATTTTTTATAAATATATTTATTGTTACTATTTTGAGTTTTATTTCAGTTCTACTAACCAGTATATAACATAGCAAAACAAGATTATTATTTAGTATTTTTGTATTTCAGAGTATTATCTCCAGATTCATTTGTTACTTCAAAATCTCAACTATTGTTGAGTTGGCGCCCTTCTTTTCTCTTCTTATTGTGCTCTTTCTATAAATTTATTCCCAGTGACCTTCTTTAGTTGTATCACGTTTGATATTACCAGGTCTCATTTCTTTCTTGTCTCATTAGCTCATTATCTCTTGTTATTGTTGTTTATATCTTTAAAGCCACAATCCAGTGCATTGAAGCTAGCCCGAACACTCACTTGAGATTTAGTGTCTCTTTGGCCATTTAAATTTGTTCCTCTGAGCTTAGCCCTATTTTTAGTATTTTTTTTTCATCACTTCTCTTTCAGTTCTTCTGAAATTTGGAAGTTCTACACTTCCTAAAATCCAACACTCCCGGAGTATTGAGCGTTTCAGTCTCTAATGAGTCGGACGAAAGGAACATTAAAAAAACCAATTTAGAGTCTACAATATATTGAATTTACCCTGAAGTTACAAATACAATCGTTAACACGTCATTCTGCGCGTCGGGAGACGAGGAGCGAGGGAGTGAAGAGTTGACAGTTGTACTGTTATAATTACTCAGGTTAGTATATAGAAATCTGTTACCTTATGTGTATTTAGGCTTTCAACCACGACACGTTTCGGTCCTCTGGAACTCGGTCAGTTGAGGGTCTCCTCCTGTGTTACGAACTTACGAGCTGTCACAATAACCGGACAACACGAGATACTATGCCGGGTGTTAAGCACTCCCCGGAGAAATACCGACTGCCTGCGCGTACGGGACGCTATCGCGTCCCACCCGATGCCGGCGATACTGCCTGAGCGGGCAGTCACGGTGCCAGCTATCACTTACTGACTCGATATTACTGACTGCCTCGTACCCGACGCTACCGCGTCGAGAGTACCCGGAGCAAGCAATTGATGCCTTGACGGCTCCCGCCGTATCACTACTACCCGATTGACCAAGTTTTCCAGTTTTTATGTCCTGCAAACATTCTTAGTTTTGTTTTGGTAATTCTGCTGTACTATTCCACGTGTTGGAATGTAACATGCGATGGTGTGTCGCTTCGTTGTATTAGTTTTTATAAAGGTCTTCGGATTTCGTAATTCTTAAACATTCGTGCTTGTATTAAACTAGGTCAAATTGTTATACTTTGTATAATTTAAATGTATAAGTTAACTGTATTAATTATCCCTTATTTAATTCGGAATATATAATAATTATCTCGAATAATTATTATCTTTTCTATGCTACTTAGCCCTTTATTCCAACTCCCCACTCACTTGCTACGCTTACATTACACTACCAAAAACGTTCAAAATAAATATTCCAATAAATATAAATAATCAAATTCCATATTCATATACTGCAAAATATTTGGGTATTCTCCAATAAATATAAATAATCAAATTACATATTCAAATACTACAAAATATTTGGGTATTACTCTGAGCTCATGTACAGAAGAAAAGAAAATAATAATTCTGATAGAAATACCTTCCTCGAGAGGGTATATACTCCTTACCTACCCGTCGGCCAGAATCCAGAAACTATCGATAAGGATAGCCTGTACTGACCGACAAAAAGTAACATTTGAGAACTTTGAGATTTTTTAAAAAGTTTATACCAAATAGCTGCTTTGTGTTACACTTTATGTTAAAAATAAAAACAGATTCGGAAAGTGAGTCAAATTCTGTAGTGCCCCAATTAAAAAAAAAATACGTTTATTTTAACCAAAAATATTTGAAAAAAAAACATTGTTTAAACAATTTATTAATTTACAACAAAATAGTGGACTAGAACTTTTTAAGACCTTTCATATAAAAAAGAATCATCTGAATATCTGCCGTAAATTTTGCGTTATTTGATATACACTTTTACATTGAAATTTAGCTATGCCCAGAATCGCGAGGAATGGCCTTAAGATAAAATAGTTTTTAAACATTCACCAATGGCCTTAAAATAAAATAGTTTTTAAACATTAACCTTTCTATGAATACAGAAATATACCCAGCTGCCAGACTAAATGATAAAATGATGAAATATGGCATTCAAAAAATAAAAATTGATAAGTTCTAGCGTTTTATTTTTTGTATTTTTTACATTAACAGCAAAGAGCTCTAGAGACTAATATTATTCTTGAATATTAAAAATTAAAAATGTATAGCAAAAGCTTTTTATCCACAAAAGTCTATGTTTAATTTATTCTTAATCTACTACATCGTTATGCTTAAAAAAATAAAGAGTGATTCTTTTTAATAAATAAAAATTAAGAATAGTTGGTACCTAATACCTGCTAAAACTGCTACAAGTTGGGGAAACGTTCCCTTAAATATATTCTCTTTTGGTGTCACAGTCTTCGCTTTAGGATCTTTTATTTCATTTGCTGTATCGTTTGTTGACCTTAAAATTAAATTTTTATTAGAAAAACTAAATCTGTATAGTACATTTTTTATTATATTGAAAAAAGGGCAAATATAAATTTTTAAAGTAATATATATATATATATATATATATATATATATATATATATATATATATATATATATATATATAGATCAGATCAGAAATTGAAAAGCTAAGCAAATTTTAATTTAATTTTCCATATACTTTTTACATTTTTTCAGGCATCTTGGCAACAATGTTAAATAAATCTTTTTTATTAATAAATAAAAAAGAATTTTTAAACAAAATAAATTTAAGTTTTTGGCAATGAATGTCTTATTTGTAATTGGTCGCTATTCTAACCTATTTTTAAATTCAATTGTTTTTGTGTTCAAAAAGTTTTTCAAAATTATATTACAAAATTTAAGAGAAACATTTCTTAGATGGGCTAATTTTTAGAATAGTTTTTTGAAATGTGTTTAGCAGCATAAATTTATTAACCAAACTAATTTTATTTGGTGAGTTAATATATTTTTTTGGTCTAGTTCTACTTTGTAAAATATTTTGTATTTTTTAGCAGCTCTTGAAAATGATTGTAAACACAACTGAAAGCTCGAGGTAAAAAATAGTTACCCAATAGCCCCTTTTATTGACTCCAACCCATCCAAAACATATTTATATATAGTTAGTTGCCATACTTCTGTGAAACAGTTTGACTGATGTTTATGAAATTCATGGTAGTTCGGAGAATAGAGAGTAATTTGTTTTTCATAGCCTAAGTGGTAGGGCGGTCCAGCCCAAGGACATTTTTTTGATTTTTTTAACATATTTTTTATTTTTATTTTATGATGTGGCGTTAAAAAATACATATAACCCTTAATTTTCACTCTTCCGTCACCAACCCCAATCTTTTAATAGCAATATTAGTGTCAAAGAGTTAGTCGCCATACTCCTTCGATACTGCTTGACCAATATTTATGAAATTTTATATGTATATTCAGTAGGTCTGAGAATTGGTCGTAATATATTTTTCATACTCTTAAGCAATAAGATTGATCCAACGTACCTAAATATTTTTTTTTAACTTTTTGGACAAATAAACAACACAACTTTTAATTGTCACCATAGACATATAATACTAATAGACTGAATGTTGCAATATAGTCTCGTTCCCGCAGCTCGACAAAAAACACTAACGCAAAGCAGTTCCTGCATATTTTTCTACGTTGCCAGGTTTATCGATCACGTGACCTAAATGACACAACGAGCCTTCTCTTACTCCGAAAACTCTACACAGTTTTTGGCCATTATAATTGTTTATGCATCGAGCGAAGTCGTGACGTTTACACTTATCATTTTACCTTCTTAGTATAATTGTATAGATGTGCAAATATTGTTCTTTCCAATGTCTATAAAAGTTGAAGTTTCGTAAAAAAAATAGAGTTGATTGGTTTTTGCACCGAATCCTTTAATAATTGTAAATGAGTAATTAAAAGCCTATGTGCAACTATAAGAAAAACATGAGAACAAGGAAACAAACGTTTATATTTATGGCATTCATTAATCTCGAGCAAGCATAGAAGAGTCCCTTGGAGATATTTTTGAGTAGACAATTTTATAAAAAAATAGCAACTAATCGTAGGTTGGATAGAAGAAGGGCTAATAAATGTCATCTTAAGGGTATCGTAAATCAGGTATTTTCCGATGTAATAACATGTCTAGGAGCTTAATAAATTCCTGATGATATGGTTGGTTTTAGTAAAAAATCCTAAAAGGAATGAAAAGAAATTTGGACCGAGATTGAAAGGCAAATCTTTAAAACTTATCTGGCAATAAGAGAATTGGAAAATGAAATGAAAAAATGAAAAAATTGTTATGGTCTTATAGAGAGATGCGTGCAGCGGGGTTAGAACGGGATGGATAAAATGGAAGAAGGCGAATGTTGTGTAAACGAAAAATTACAATGAAACTAAATGATCGATTTTGTATCTTAGGAACAGATGTGATATATGGGACTTAATGTTTTGCTGCTAAAATAAAATTATTACCAGATGAGTTTTGTAGAAATAAAAATATTTATACGACGGCAATGACAAAAAGGAAAAAAATAAGAATAAATGTATTACATAAGTTATTGGTCTGGCTCATATTATTCGAAAATTAAGGAACAGTTGTGGATACCAAAAACCAGAACAAAAAATGGCAAAATGCAAAAGCTTAAGTTAAGATTGTTCAATGACGAAATCATGGTTAAAAGCGGGAACCAAGTATTGAGCTAAGAGGGCAGTTAGACGCTTTTGTTTTAAGCGCAACATTTTTAAATAAAAACATCTAAGATCTAAAATATTATTATATATTATATTATTTATAAATTAATAATTATCATAACTTTATTAGACTTACTTGTCTCTTGTTATCTTTATCTGTCACTACCTGTCAATGAAACTTTCATAATAAACGAAGTATTATGTGACTTATGTACAATCTCACAGACTTCATCATACCAGTTTAATTTATATTTCTAATTCTTAACAAATAGTTTTGGTTTGATTTGACGTTTGTTAACAATTGTATTGAGATAATTAATTATCAAGTATTAAGTATTAAGTAAAAATCTTTGAATATAATTGGTTTGACTACAGCTATATTTCCTCTTGTTTGTATAAGTATTTTGGTTTATAACAACTGAGCTAGGGTAAATTCTCCATTTAAAAGCAATATATTTTTGTATAACTATTGATACAAATGGTATTAATAAATGCATTCTTAATAAATATTTATTTACAGAAGCCATAAATCCTTTAATCTCTCTCATATTAAAGAAAACATACAAGATTACAAATATTGCTGATGCATTAATCACAACATAGATAGACTCCGACAAAGTTTAGTTTGGGAATATGACTCATAACTCGACGGTGCGCAGTGGTTCTTGTTTACTAGCGTTACCATAGAAACGGCCAGTTTGCAGTTTGCCAGTGTCGTAGTTGCGTATCGCAGAGAGTGTTTCACTTGTTGATTGGATCGTGTTGAATATTTTATTATTTTATTTTATATTGGTGCTTAGTACAATATAGGTAGTAGTATTTTCACATCTTTAAATGTAAAGTGGGGTGTATCTGTAAATATGTATTTTGCTAGTTTTCAACAATATTCTTCCATTGCTGTTACCATTTCAGTCTAATTTTTTATTGAGTGAAATATATCCCTTACTGTATAAATATTGCAAAAGACTCCATTTTGCACTGCTTCCTCAGCTAGAGTATCAGCTTTTTCATTCCCTAGTATACCTACATGGCGTCTAACTCAAATGAATGTTTTATTTAAGTTTACAATTATGTTTATTAAAAAACATAACATATGACACTTCATTCCTTCAAATTTTGTATTTTTTATAGAGTCTAATGCAAATTTAGAATCTGTTAATATTATTCCTTCGAGTATGTTATTGGATGTTAACCAGGTAATACCCTTTATATTTGCAACAAGCTCGGCAGTATAAATGCTACAAACAGGTGGTAATTTATATTTGAATGATTGGTTTGTATTTTGTATAAATACACCACAACCAACACCTTGTGATTACCTATTTACGATGTTTCATCAGATACTTTCTACTATTTACTTGAAACAGAAAATAACCGATCTCAATATAGATTGTGTTAGTAAATATGATTAATATGTATTTTGTTTGTCAATATTTTCATCTAGTAACATTTAACATTGGTAATTATAGGGATAGGATTCTAGCAGCTACAGGTATAAGTAAAAACACCTCATCCAAAATAAGAAAAGAAGGTAGAGAAGTTAATAAAAATGGAGCGACTATTTCATATTTTACAAGTCGAAAAAGATAACGTTCTCGTGTTAAAAAAACTCAATTGGACCAAGGAGAAGAAGAAATCATCAAAAATATTATATATGACTTTTACGATAACGATATGAACCATCTTAATTTTATGAAGTGGGTCAGAAGTCAGCTTATACCTAACTTACCTAAAAATTCGATCTTGGTGGTTGATAACGCATCCTACCATAATGTACTAATCGAAAAAAATGTGACGTCTGCTAGCCGTACGGATATTATGGTAAAATGGTTACAAGAAAAAAGTATTCCCTTTCAAGAAAATCTGACCAAACCGGAATTATATAAAATTATTCAAGCCAATAAACCACGTTTTCCACCAGTTTATGTGTTAGACTATAAGCTTGAACAACATGGCCATCAAGTACTTCGCTTGCCTTCTTATCATCCAGAGTTAAACCCTATTGAAAAAATATGGGCTTTGGTAAAAGGTAGAGTGGCCACTCATAATACAACATTTAATATAAATGATGTTGAAAATATAACAAGAGCAAAATTTTCAGAAGTGTTGATAGAAGAGTGGGCTAACATAATAATATGTAAACACGTAAAAGAATATGAAAACACTCAAATCGCAAAAGAACATTTATTAGACTTTATGCTGGACCACTTAAAATTTTTTATTAATACTGGTTCAACAGAAGAAAGCTTTTCTGATGATGAAGATAGTAATTAAAATTTCGGAATAGACGTGTTTTTGTGTGATATTCCTTTGTCATATAACAAAATATAGAAGTCTTTAAAATCCATATTTTTTTATAAAATAAATACATTATTTAATTTGTTAAAATAAATTACTTATTTTTTTTGAGTTGTTGAAACCCTTTCTTCCTTCCTGGCAATGTTAATAAATTGTAAGTATTGAGGAATTTGTTATTTATTAAAGTACTACTAATAGTTTACTCATTGTTTTATTGAATGCCTGACTATAAACTTCATAAATATTAAAAACTATAAAAATAAAAATTAACAAATTCATTCTCACTTTAATTGAATATACTTTTAAAAATTTATTTTAAAGCTACCGGCTTCCGTCCGCCACTGGTAGAAACGGTCCGCCTTTCTGCGCGAAACATGACGTCACATTTCCAAACTTAAGTTTGTCGGAGTCTATTACAATAGTAGATTACGACTCAAAAATTGTTTTAAATCC